AGTTTTCCATAGGTTTGAAATTTTCAAAATAAAAAGTTGAAAAATTATGTAAAGTAACCACTATATCCCTACCTAATCCTTTCAAATATTTTATTTTTACTACCCATCTATACTAATTTAAGATCACAATAAATGACAGTGATCTGGCCCCTTTTGCTCTTCAACGTGTCTCCATATAGGAAGATTATATGGTACAAAGTGGGCACTGAGTAATATTTATGGAATTAAGGAATTAGTTACATTGTAAAAACCAGAATCTTAAAGAGATGCCAAACCATAACATTTTTTTTCTTTCACTTATTTCCATTATCATCTTTTAATTTGCATGTTTTTAAAGCTTTGTACTTATAAAAACTCAAATTAGAATAAAACATGTCCAATAATTTTTGACATTCAGGTGTAAATAGTTATTATTAAGTAAATACTTAATCTTTAATTGGCCTAAATGCAGTGCTTGAATTTTGTGTTGGTTTATTCTAAAATTCACGTGATCACAACAGTCTACAATCCTATAAAAATCTACAAAATGTGAACTGTCACAATTGGCCTCTTTTGAATAGGCCCTTCCTAACACCCTGTTAACAACACATCACTGAGCTTTGAACCTCCTGCATTCATGTAAAGAAATTCAGAGCCACTGTGCCACTATTTATTCCCTCAAACAAAATAATCTCCCCTGTTTTTTCTTACTAGGCTACATTTCCTTTCTTAGTCAAAGATATTTACTCACATATTTAATTAGTTAGGTTTAAATAATCTACACAGTAATCTGAATATTAGCAGAGTAAAATGATACTTTAGATTTTTAAACAATTAAAATAAAACTTTTAAATAAAATTTATATATCTATAAAATGATTATACCCCCCACAATTTAAATAGGAAAAATATCCAAATTTAGGAGGTATTTCATTGTTATTTATTATAAAGGAAATAAATTGACCAGTAGAGGGCACTCATTTGCAAGGGGGGAAAGAGTTGGCCACAGCCTTGAAGAGAACTTCATTTACAAAATTGCTGTTACCTTATTTTAAGAACAGAATGTTTTAATAGAACGCTAGAGTAAGCTAACATATATAACATATTACTAGTTTAGAAAAGGTAAAGCTTAAATCTATATTATGTTAGAAAGTCTAACATAAACCTTATTCAGGGACTTCAGTTTAACAATTTAAGGATGTTTAAAGCTATGTGTAACACATACTAGGGTCTTAACCTCAGAACTACTGATTTTGGGCCAGGTAATTATTTGTTGTGGGCTGTCTGTCCTGTGTGTGCACTACCTACCATAGGTGCTAGCAGTCGCCCTCTCTCAAGTTGTGACAAAAGTATCTCCAGGTATTGCCAAATGTCCCCTAAAGGCAAAGTCACCCATCCACTCCTCTTTGATGACTATCAATACATATACAGAAAGCCAGAAAAATAACAGCTTGCAAGTTTACATGTTTTTTAAACACCATTCTTCAATACTGTTTAATATTACAAATTTTCTCTTTATTATCTAAATACCTTATTCAGCAAGTAAAATAAGTTCCATAACTAAGATGAAAAAATAAAAAATAGAGAAACTGGTAAATCTTGGTGATTATAGCTCAGAGCACTAAAGATAGAACAAATCAATCCAATTATGAATCCATTCTTCCTTACTGAGTAGGAAACTGTTTCACCAAAGGGCATAAAACTTGGACTGAATTTTAAGTGTCACATTAACAGAAGCATGCAGATGTCAATGAATTAAGAGCCTGGAAGAAATACTTCTGTATCTACTGTTACTAGTATACTATATCCAGGAGATATATGCAATCTATATTTGCTAACTGATCAACTGATCATTCTGATTTCCATGTCTATACCTACTAGCATTTTTTTTAAGACAAGATTTTTCTTTTCCCATCAAATTTTCCTTTGCTAAACACACCTCAGAGAACATGTTTTCATAATAGCAAGGAATCTCTAAATTATAAAAACATACATTATTTCTAGCCTGGTATTATGTTTGGGATATTGCTTTAAGTTTTTAATAACCTTGCACCATTAATGAGGTTATTTCAATATCTCTGGAACTCTTTGATGGACTTCATAAAAGATAAAGGTAAAATCTTTCAGAATAGAAGTAAAAGTGATTATCATGTGCATAGTCTCAAATATAAACATGCTCCACAGATGTGTCATTCCTCTCTCATTCTATATCATATCCCTGCCATTAAAATGCCATTAGATAGTACGTGAGATCAAATTTTGGTATACTGATAAATCTGAATCAGCCTCCAATATTAGATATCTGTTTGAGGGTAACTTTACATTTTTTAATAGTTATACAAGAAAAGCATGGAAATTCCATTTAACTTCATCGCGGAAAACTTAAAATGCCACAACTTACTAGCCAAGTATCCTTAAGCAAGTTAGCACCTCTCAGACACCATTTTTATCTATAAAATGGAAGAAACAATGACCACCTTCCTTATCTGTCTCATAGTATATAAAACTTTTCAAATTTTAAACCACTAGAACATATGGTATTATTTGATTTAAAATTCTTTCTCAATTTCTTTTCATTTGTTTTAATGCAGGAAAACTGATGAGAATTCCAAATGTGCGAAGCCTATGTCCTCTCTCACTTTCTCTCTGACCTACATTACTCAACATCAAAACCTAACAGCACTAGTGATATCCCATCCTCTTTTTTAACTTTTTACAAAAACATTGAGTCAGCATTTTTGCTTAACTACTTATTAAAATAAACTAATAAATTCTCTTGCCTTTCTTGTAGTTGAACTACACACCAAGAATCTAGTGTGTCAGTTGCCTCAGATATAATCTCTGTATACCTTTTCCCAGGTGGCTAAACTAGTGAAGGGGCCTCAGTTTCAAAGTTCATAGGTAATCAATGTTCCCAGAGTCAAGTCCTCTGGTTTGGCAGAAATCATAATAAGTTATGGGTTTGAGTTTATAAACTTTTTCTACCTTCCCCTAAAATAAAGAATTAACTTTTAGCTTTAGCTCTGTAAGATTTATATTGCACTTGAACAACTGTGACCAAAGGGTGTCCTAAGCCATTTTATCACATTATCATACATAAAACATTCATGACCTCTGGCAGGGAACAGTATAATGGAATTCCTCAGATTTTCAGAGAAGATGGTGGGTCCTTCTGCTAAAGCCATCTTCCAAAATCCCAGGAACACTTCCATGCTTAACCTGAATTCTATTTAAAACTTCCTTTTACTTCTGATTCAAACGGTGAAGTACGCCAAGCAGCCTTGGCTTTAGAAATAAGTTAACTACTTAATCCGCCTTCAAGATAAAAAGAAAACAAGACCAAACCATCACACAACATTGAACTGACTTGTCAAGAGAAAATATACAGAGATTATTAGATAGGTGGTCCACTTCAGTTAGACTCTTCCCCTTTACTGCAAATTCTTAAATTTGGAAGCCACACAAAAAGTGCTTCTCTGTTTAAATCAAATCTTTGCTTACAGCCTTATTTCTCCACGGTTTTCCTGCAGTATCAAAAATATTTGACATTTCCTTATAAAACTTATCTAATGAACTCTCAGTTCTATATTGCATAAACATTTCCCAAGGCCACCATAGCCCTCAGAATCTACCTCAGTGCAGTCAAAGTGTTTCTTGAAGACATTACACAGCTTGGAACTCAGAGCAAGTTCTAGGAAATTTTTCAGAGCTGATTTGAACAATTGGTATATCAGGCCTAGAATAAAAGCTAGGGGGTTAGGATTGCTTGCTTAACCAGGGGTAAAGAAGTCTAAGAAATAATCCAACAGTGTAAATCTATTTCAAAGATGAGGTGGTATACTTATTTCCATCTCCAGAGTTAAACTTAACATGAAGATTCAGATTATGCATAAAAAACAGTAATTCTTGAAATGAGTTAACTAGGACAGTTGTGCCATCCCCTCCTGCAGGTCTTTGGGATTAAAGTAATCCTTATCTGCTTGATACGACCTGACCTTTCAAGGTCTCCTTCAGGCCTTCATTCTATCATTTTGCTGTTGGCCCATACCATGGTGATTTTTCATTAAAATAAGAAGGCCTGAAAATTATTCACTAATCAATTTGTAATAAAAACAATTCTAACATTTCCTTGAGTAAATTAAAAAAGGGCTGCAGCCCCACCGGCCATAGGTCAGTGGTTGAGCATTGACCTATGATCCAGGAGATTGCAGTTTGATTCCGGATGGGGCAAATGCCTGAGTTTCGGGCTCAATCTCCAGCAGGGGGCGTGCAGGAGGCAGATGATCAATGACTCTTCTCATCATTGGTGTTTCTGTATCTCTCCCTCTCCCTTCCTCTCTCTGAAATCAATAAAATATATATATTTTTAAAAAGGGCTGCAAAGTAAAGGTAAGGATTGGTAGTTGTACCCTTATATATGTTTATAAGGGTATATATATCATCTGATATATATATATATATATATATGTGTGTGCAAAGAATGAGTTTTTAAAAATGCATCAGGTAGCTGTAGGTTCTCCACTACTTCAATATGAAGAGGAAACTGGGAAATACTACTAATTAAGTTTTTAATCAACTTTCAAATGATTATATTTCACCAGTACAATTCAATTCTAACATATCAAAATACCAAAAAACCCCAAACAAAAAACAAAAACAAACCCATAAAAATAATAGCCACATTAAAAAAAACAGGTACAGATAAGATGTATATTCACACTTTACTCTCTCACAAAACTCTGAAATACACTTCTAATCAAAATGCACACATACTAACACAGAAGGAATGTCATGAATCTTGAGATTCTCCCAAGAGAAGATGGGCTCTCATATCTATGGTTATGTGTAACTTCAGAGTAAGGCTTTAAAACCTAAATGCATTTCTGATAGCTTAATACAATTATTTTCAGTATCACTGACTTGTAATGCATAGCCACACAAAAAATGATCAAAGAAAAGTTTTTTGTACCCAAAGGATGGGCGTGCACAAATCAATATACATAATATTAAAACAAGATTTACCTCTATTGTAGGGTCATATTCATCCACAAAGTGATTCTGAATTAGCTGTATCGTCAAGGCACTCTTGCCTACGCCACCAGCTCCAACTACCACAAGTTTATATTCAGTCATTTTCAGCGGGCCTTATAATAAAAATAACGAAAATGTAACTAAATTAGAACATGTGTCACACACGAGGTTAATAGAAGCCAAACACTCTATCAATACCTTTTAATGCAAATTCACCTTCATATGGCAAATTATATCAAAATACCTCGCAAAATTCAATGATAAAAACGTAAGTTGACTACAGATGTGTTTTTTAATGAATCACACATTTACAAACTCGCCCATTCAACATTTCAGGAAAATGCATTCAGAGTACAAAGTTCTTTTATCTTATATTCAGGTTGTGCTATCTAAACAGCCAGTCTGCTATTCTGTAGCAGTTAATGGCTCTCAAAGGAACATGTCATGACTTTTACTCAGTACAAGCGTCTAGTGCAATGCTCTATACCCTGTGGACACACCCACACAAAACTGTTGACAGCTATCTCTCCTAGTTGGCTATGGCCCCTAAGAGTTACAAGTGGGCATGCTGAGTGTCTTTGTTGAAGCCAAGACCTACAGAAAACTTTTAAAAAGCATCATCATAGTTAGCTCTCCTGAATAATTAGCAAGAATCAGACTGGGGGGGAGGGGTGGAAGGATTGTCAAATAAAGCTCACTGTGTAGTGACAAAATAAAATAAAAACAGAGACACCAAAGCAGATAAGGATAATATTTGATGAACATTTTAATCTGTAAAATATCTGCTGGGGAAAATAATGGTATGAGAACTTTGAGAATTTTGAAATATTTCAGTACAGTTGATTAAATCATCAATCACAACATATAATCCTATGTTAATGCTGAAAATAGTACTTTGCACAAGAAAAATATAATTATATAAAATTTTAAAATAGTTACTGCTTTTAATGAGAAAATTTTAAAAAGATGTGACTATTTCTCAGGAATCCAAGTGACTTTTACTCTTTGCATCTCATACATCATTGCCCAATAACTGCAATAAATATTGACAATTTGTAAGGTTAACAGTACAAGGCAGAAAATCTTTTTTTAGTCAGTTGTTTCAAACTTTTTGAAATAAAATGAATTTATTTATCTCCTCTCCCTCAATCACTACATGATATTATTATAAATAAGAAACAGTGGAAAGAATGGCAGTAAATGCACTATTGTAAGTAGTTCCAAATTAATGAACGGAATGTGCAGATATAAACACTATATACACGCAGCATCCCATTTACTGAAGACAATTATCCAAATAGGCAGAGAAAAATAAAGTAATATGGTTTTCCAAATGATAACATACTAACCACCTCCTTACCGTATTTCTGAGCCCTCTCACAAAGAGCAGACAGGCTAGACAACTGTTGCTGTCACTGTTATATTACAGTTCCCTGGTCTATTCCCTGCCACCTAGCTTTATTTGGTCTTGTCTACAGCCACCTTGGGAGCCATTAGAAACATGTGTCTTATTCTGTTTGCTTCCACTTACGGGTGGTAGCAAATGGGACAGATGAGGAAAATCACACCAAAATATATCCCTGCCCACCAAATCCTGCAAAACAAATTGGATAGCCTAGAACAGTAGCTCTCAAAATGTGGTCCAGGAACCCATTAGGGTTCCTAAGGCTTTTGTGGGGCAAAGGGTCCAAGAAGTTAAAAACTGTTTTTATAAAAATTCTATGATGTTGATTACCCTTTCCACTCTTGTTCTTTCACAAGTGTAGAGTTTTCCAGATGTGTAATCACAACAGACTGAATGCAGAAGCAGATATGAGGAGCCAGATGTCTTCTATTGTCATATAATTAAGGAGATTTGCAAAAGTGTTAAACAATGCCATTCTTTTCACTAATTTGTTTTTGTTTTGAAAAAGTTATTTTTCATAAAAAATGCTATTTATGTTACCAAGTAATGGGCTTCCTGTTTCTATTCTTACATGAATTAATAAAGGTTTAAAACTCCCAGTTTTCATTTCTGTGATGGTAAATATTGACATACCACAGGTTGGGATCTTCGATAACTTTGAAGAGTATAAAGAGATCCTTACAACCAAAAGTTTGCTAGCCTAGGAAAGCCTGTGGACAGGTACTGGATTAGAACTTAGTTTTATATACATGTGTGAACTCTGAGAGAAACACACCTTCTGGTCTACTTGCTTGTGAGTGGCTGTTTCGGGGGAGGAGGGGGATCCTTAAACTGGATTATAAATATCAAGTAATATTTAAGTCCACTAGAGAGAACTGGGTTCCCAAGGAGGCTTACTGAAGATCACATGCCAGAAGGAACCCCCTCACCCAAAGCTACCAAAGCTAGCAAGGGGTGGAAATGGGACCAGAACCCAACATCTTGTTAAAGGAGAGAGAGGGGGAAATCACTTTTTTTTGGTCATAAAACTGAATTATCATCTCATCTACTATCTCTTAAAACCAAGTATGCCTGTGGATGGCTACTGTCTCAAAGCAAGCAGTGTTAGTTATCAACCATATTTGATGTCAATGTTGGAGTCAGCATTTAGGACCTAAGAGTGACATCTCATATGGTTGATTCTGAGATGATTATTATGAACAGACTTTTCCCCTTTACAATTTGTTTTTAAATTACTTTTTCCATTACAAATGTAACATATATGTTGTGTAACAATTAGAAAATACCTCTCTGTTTTTAACCCCTGTTTTGATGGATATCAATATTTAAGAAGGTTAGCTTAGAACTTCAGCTATAGCATGCACCTGCCTAAGAGTATTTCAAGCAGTTGGCTGGAAGATTGCTACAATTAACTCCTCCTGTAAGTCAGTTTAAAAAAAAAAAAAAATTGTCAGTGCTGTTTAAGAGTACTGTGACAACTCCTGGGATGAAGGTTAAATTTGTAGGGATGAGGGTAATACAGAAGAGATGAGGGAAAGGACAAGAACAGGCACATTACGGGTAAAGGATGATTCTGGCTATTACTGTCTACACTCAACTAGCAAGGGAAAAGCCCTGCTTCTGATCTGCGGGTTTTCTGCGTTGTGTTTTCACTTGACAAAACAAAACAGACCTTCTGGGATTAACTTTTTCCTTTTCACGAAGTCACAGGCTTTACATTGCAGGGTGTTGGCCACCTGTTCTTCCACCACCATCTCTACCTCCTCCTTTGTGGCCACAGCAATGTCACAGCCCGTGCATGGGGGAGGGGAGCAGTCAGGAACTCGGCTGCAGATGCATTTTTTTCCCCAAACACAATAACCTCAAACAGTGGTCTCTAAGCACTTTCCCAAGCTCTCCCAAAACGTGACCTCCCCCTACCGCACATATGCCCTAACACCCTGAGAGGGACCCCTATCCGTCCGGTCTGCGCTCGAGGGAGAAGTTTATCCCTCCGTCCTAGAGATGCTGGATGCGGCGGCGAAGGCGG